AAATACCTTCAATAATTTGATCATTTTTTTATATTCATTCCCATCTTGAACTTTGAAATCTCAAACTGCTATTACAGATAATGTTAAAATTTGCATTAATATTGCAACCAAACCAAAACCTAAAAAAAAAAAAATATCAATTTGCCTTAAGGTTTCTTTATCTCTCTCGTCTCCACCGATGACCTTCAACAACTCAACGCTGCTACCTCTTTGTTTATTGGTATGTCTTATTTTATTTATTTTTTGTATTATTTATATTCTTCGATATAAGTATTTTTTTTCATTCTCACTATATATATTTATTCATTCCACCGTCACTTGGGTGTAAAAAGCACATTTCATTGCATATATGGTGTTTTTGTGTAGTTTGGCTTAAATATTATGGTTTGCTAAATGGTATTATGGAATTTGTCTATATTTTTTACTCATCATTTGTTTTGCATGAAACTCTTATTTAAGGTTGGAATCACAGTATGGCTTGTACTCATAAAATATTATGAGTTTGAGGATGATTTACGTATATTGGTGTAGTAACTATAGTATGATATTGGTTGTATTTTATTACGTATAATTTAGATAGACAGTTTGGTGTATTTTGTATAATATTGATCAAAATCGTAGGTATTATGGAATCTGAATAACATACTTCTCTCACTACTCAATATGAAAAAGACATATCTGTAGACCAAAAAAGAAAAGAAGGGGAAAAAATAAACAAATTGAAGTGACTAACACCAAAATTCATGTCCACTTTAATCAAAGTGGGCAACCTATGTCTGATGGAGCTGTCAAGTTGGCTACTCATATTGGAGCGACCGTCTGTCGTAACATTTCAATTACGTGCCCTAATTGACGACAAGTTCCTGACGATCTAAAGGATCATATATGAGAGTCTGTTGTGGTATATTTATTCAATTATTTCATAAAATTTGTTAAATGATCGTTTAATTGAAATTCAATGTGTTCATACTAATTGTGTTAAATTTTTTATGAATGGTTCGACATTCTAGTTGAGTCTAAAAAGCTTGTGTTGCAATCGGCTGAAAAATCATTTAGAGACTTTAAAAGCAGATTGATAATCTAATATATTTTACCACTCGTTGATCATGGTGATGTATTAGTTGTTCCACCTACGTCATATGCAGATGTTATAAGTTGTGATGATTGGATGACTTTTGTTCAAGATCGATTATCAAAAGATTTCTCAGTACACATACCCATTACAAAAAATTATTTATAAGATTTTCTTAATATGTGATATATGTGATATATGTAATTTCTTTCTTTTTTAGAAAATCAAAGAAAAACAAAAGAACATTCAGGCCAAACAAGTATATTACCATTAGACAGCGAGAAAAGGGTTATACAAATGTCAAGTATTCACACACTTATTTTATACTCAAATGAATATTTATGAATATTTGTTTAATAGATTTTGATTCTTATATTATGATAATTTATTAGAAATCAGCTAGCTCTGGCACTAAAGTTTTCAAATGGGATGTGTGAAAATAAGGACATCTGTGAAGAGATGAATCATTCATAGATGAAGCAACCAAAGAAATGACTAAAAAGATTGTATGTATAATTGCTAATTATATAACATATGATTGATTTTATGCTTGTATGCATGACTGTATACTAGTTTGTATAGATTTATTGTTACTAAAATCTTATTATTATCTTTCAGGATGATTATGCTAATAAAGTTAAATATGGTGAACTAGCAACCCAATATGATGAAAATCCCTTGTTTTTGGCATTAGGTGCCAAAGAGAGATATGGTCAAGTTCATGGTATTGGTAAATTTGTGTTGCCATCAAAGTTTTTTAGTAATCAATAGAAAACGTCTCAAATGACAAATATACAATATGAAGCAATCATTAAACAACAACAACAACAAAGACTTGATGAGCAAGAGTAACGTCTGAATGACCAACAACAATGATTTACGACTTTGGAGGTAATGTTGGTAGCAATGTAGCCTAGCATGCCTGTAAGCCAGTCAGATAGCATCATCGACCTAGGATAAGCTTTCGTTGTAAGTTAGGCAATAAACCTAACCCTAATACCAGTCATGAAGAATGATTTTGTTTATTCACTTAATATTTTTTTATTTATTATAATTATTGATTTGGTATTAATACTTATATTTCATTATATATTGTAGCAAGATGTTTGGACTTAGAGTATGACCCATGCTAGGGCTGCCATTAATGAATTATCTAATTATTCGCCTTGATTATTTATTTGAAGGAAACTTCATTACAATTGAGTCTAAAGATGGGTTATTTGATCAACCATCACTTTCTTACATTGGTAAGGATAAGGTTCAGGAATTTTGTAACCTAGATGAAATATCAGCTGCTGATATTATTGCTTATATGAGGTTAGCTTATAAATTTAAATATGCAAATTCAATATTTATTAATTTATATTACGATGTATTACTAATTAGTATTGTTGATTGTTATTATGTAGCTTCCTATATAGAGAGATAAAGGTGAGAAAAATGACCCATCGATTCAGATTCGTTGACCCCAATTTCATTAGTGAGTAGAGTGATACATTTATTTTTCATGCTCATCATGTGATTGAATGCATGAAAAAATGGGCTGATTATTATTTGCTCTCGTATAATGCTGCATAAGTTATATTCATACAAATAATTATCCATCCTTAATTGAATATAAGATGATGCTTAATCTGAGTATATCATTGTTATTATTTTGCAGTCATCATTGGCAGCTTATTATGATTGATGACAATTTCTTAACGCCGTGCTTATTTAATTTGGCTCAACCAACAGTGATGGCCTGACCCAATATTAAAAATTTTATAAAGAGGTATTACATGTTATTATATTATCTTCTGTTTCTTCATAATTACTTTTATTTTGTATTAACTTTTTTTTCAATTTAAGGTATTGTCTGCAGTTGGTAACAAAGCAAAGATAAATTAGGTGTCATTATCGGTAAATATAAAATTTATTCTTTTATGTTGAGTTTGTTTAGATACATGTTTTTTGAACTCACTAAATTTATTTTTAGGTACCTCGTCAACCGGGATATACTGAATGTGGATATTATATCCTTTATTTTATGAGGGAGATAATATTGTATGATTTTATAACCACACCATTCAAGGTTATTAATTTCATAAAATCGTTATATCTTCCAAAAAAAAGATAAATTATGTTCTCATTTATTAACATTTACTTGTGATTTTTTTTAGTTGGAGAGTAAAGTAAGCTTCACAATAGATGAACTTGATGAAGTCCATAAAGAGTGGTGTGAGTATGTATTATCGTTTGCTAAACCTTGAGCTTGGACATTATTGGTTGGGTGTAAATATATGCATTTCATTTGTTATAATGTATTTAACATGCTATGTTGAATGGATAATTTAAGTTTGTAGATTAGGGTATTGGTTTAATATTATTGGCTTATATTTGTTTTATATCAATTGGCTGCAGCTTTTATTAATACATATATATATATCACGTACACATATATTTGAAAAAAGTATATTTATATGGCAATATTATCAGTTTTAAATTCGAATGTGTGATCAATTTATTAAAATACTACAATGTTTGTAATGTAAATTTCAAAATGTAATTTGTAGTATAACATATATAAACTAAATATTTTTTTGGCATAAACCTACAACTGACTTCACATATATAATTAAACCAAATGTTTTTTTATGGGATTACTGAATGCATTTTTAGCCAAAAATACCTTGAATAATCCCTTACAAAATGTTGAATGAGGTTATTGAAGGCGTTTCTGGCTCAAAACATGTTTCTGGCTAAAAATGCATTCAATAATCCCCTTCAAAATTTTTTTATGGATTATTGAAGGCGTTTTTCGTCAAAAATACTTTCAATAATCCCTTCCAAATTTTTTCTATGGATTATTGAAGGCGTTTTTTGACGAAAACACCTTCAATATTCTCTCTCCAAAATTTTTTGAATGGATTATTAAAGGTATTTCTAGCCAAAAAATATCTTGAATAATTTCTTACAAATAATTTCTTCAAAAACCTAAAAAACGTTAAAATGAGGGATCGAACCTACGATCTTATTGTTAATAATCATATGATCTAACTGATAGAGTTACTCTAGTTTTATTTAAGAGGTAATTTCAAGGCCACCACCTTAAATTTTGACAGGATATTTATTGAAGGTAACTTTTTTTTAAAAAATATTTTTAATAATCCTCTCCAATTTTTTAAGGTAATTATTGAAGGCATTTCTGACAGAAAATACCTTCAATAATCACCTCCATTTTTTATGAGAGGATTATTCAAGGCATTTTCTATCAAAAAGGCTTTCAATAATCCCCTATCTATATTTATGAGAGGATTATTCAATGTATTTTTTATCAAAAGTACCTTCAATTATTGCTTTAATTTTTTAGAAAAAGATTATTCAAAGTGTTTTAGTCGATAAACACTTTTAATTTTGGTCTTTAGTTACGTTTATAAGTACAAATATCGCTATTTGAATATTTAGTAATATTTTCATAAAAAATATCTTAAATTTTATAAAACACCGAAACTAGTGGCATTTTTAAGTGAAAAGTCGTTACAAAACTGCCAATAATATTTCATTTTCTTGTAGTGTATCTCTGCTCTGAAGTTGGTTACTACTTTCTATTTTCTTATTCCATATTTATGGAGAGATCTAAACAGATTAATTATGTCTGTAGTGAGGCACATCTTAACTTTTTATTAAGGAAAGCACATCAACATCTACAAATTACAATACAATAATATAACCCTCTCAGAATTGCTGCGGCATTTACTTGTACTTGCATTGGAAAATGGGTCACAATACATCTAACATAAATCATAAACCTAATGATTTCTGACATTTAAGATTTCTACAAAGTATCAGAAAACAAATAATACACAGTAAGATTGAAATTAAAGTATATAGCATTAATAGAATCATCTTGTGTTCAATTCCCGGCAGGTTCTTCGTCAAACCCAATTCAGTTAAGCTCATTCATGAACAAAGCCAAATCCATGTCATTCCATTCACATTCCTCAGGAGAGTTGGAACCAATCATGGGCAGTTTGTTTGGATCCTGATTTTCTTGATCATCAACTTCCCCGAAAATAACTTGATTATTTGTTAGAGTACTTCCATTCCATTCAGCTTTGCCTTGGTTTAGGTTACTCTGATCATCAATACAAATTTTCTTCGAAGTTGGAACCGACATCTCTTCATCATTAACCAGCACTAAAGCTTTCCGCTTCTGGTAGACGGCTTCTGCTTTTGCTGTGGAGTTGTTTTGACCATGATCTGAACCAACAGCCACAGCCACAGCCACAGCCATAGCATCTTTATTTTTTATTTCGCAAATAACATAATCGCTCAAACCCTGGTCGCTTAAGGAAAACTCATGCATAATCCAATTGCCATTGATGCCTCGGCTTGACTGATCTTTCTTGCGTATAAAAGTGAAATATTTTTCAAACCCTAAAAGCTGACCACTTTCATCCTTAACTTCTTTGGTGCTTCGAGCAAGCCAAGTTCCAGAACCAGCAGTCCTATCAATTCTTGATTTACTCTTCTTCTTCAACTTGCTGAAAACCCAAAAAGAATCATTGTGATCTTTGTCAAAAATATTCCAGGGCTCCCTATTATCACCATAAATCTCACGCTCAATCAAAGTATTACAAGGCAAAACCAAAGGCTCTCCACTAATGGCTTGTGGAAGGTAAAAGCACAAAATCTCTTTTTTGGTGGGACGAAAGCGGAAGCCAGGGGCCAATGGGAACGGAAGAGGAGAAACGATCAACATGTTATGGATGCTCTGAGTCAAACTAGTTCAGGTACCCATTGCGTTGCCAAACTCCATTATATATATAGTTTTTCATTGTATAATAAAATATCTATTTTGCCCCCCTTTCACAAAATTTATTACATGCCACCCACATACAAAATCCGTATTAGAGATGTCTAAATTTGATAATTTGCTAATTATAAATCTAATTCCTATATAACCGAGGAAGTTTGTATTTGACCGCCATATAGAAATCGTTGTTGGAGAAGGATACGGAGTTTCCTAGCCGATATTTCTTTGTCCAGCTATACCCGGAAAAACATAGCTTTAATAGCCATATAGGGTTCATTATGTATCCAAAAAACATAGCTTTAATATTTGCTTCTCAAAATCTAACTATTATCATGTTTTTGTTTAAAAACTCATAAAAAAATTGAAATTATTGTTAATTTTAAAAAAATCCAAATGAATTCATTCTTAAAAAGCCTACAAGCTGAATTTGTTAATATGTTTATTATAAAGTTAAAGTAACGAATCGAAATACAATCAAACAATTTAATTTTTAATCAGACGTGAAAAAAATTGAGAAACTCATTTTTCTATCCTTTTATTGCCTTAGCAAATTTCAGCATGATCGACAGATAGAGATTTAAAGCTGTTGAAGTTTGTATAAATTCTGTTGCCCTTGGAGCTATTTTCCTTGAGATTTATGCAATCTGCTGCTTTCATCGGACTGGACAATTCTTTGGCTGAGCAAACAAGAGAAATGTCCAGTGAATCAGGTTTATAAAGCCTTATCTACATTCAAATTTATAACTAGCATGAACAGATGGTCAAATTATATGGAACAATCCAGTCTTATTGGTTCTTGCTTCAAAGTTGAGCCTGATGATTTTAACATTAATTTTCCATTGCATTTGTAAGAATAGCAGTGCCCTTGATTTTTAATGGCATTGTGGAGCAACAGCATAGGTCAGCAGCAGCAGCACATGATTACTAGTAGCATTGCTAGCCTTTATCCTAATCATAATCTTCCGTTTTAAGATATTGTAGCTTGAATCTTATGATTATCCAATTTATTCAGTCCATTAATACAGTAAAGAATTTTCCAACTGAATTGTTTTGGAAAAAAGGAAAAAGCACAACAGGTTGAACAATGTTTTTTTTAGATCGGAATCCTTTGGATTCTCTTTCAAAATAAAGCTTGGTGTCACGAACTTGTTCCAAGAGCAATGTAAATTCCAACAAGTCACTAGTAATTACGCAAAAAAGAAAAAGGAGAAAAGAAGAAAAAGAAAACAGGAAAAAGGAGCAGCATTATGACATCTCTGTTCTAGTTCACTCCCGGGGGACCAGACATAGCATAGTTTAGACTTATTAACTGTGGAAGTTATTTTTGCTTTGGCTGATTAAGATAATGACAGTCTATATGATTGGTTCTTTTGTTTCTGTGGATTTTTTTTTTATGTCAAATTTCTTGTGAATTCATCACAGAAAGACAACATAGTAACAACTGAATGAACTGTAGTAAAGTGACAAATATGCTACACTAGTGTGTCAAACAATGACACAACCATCACTTTCTTGAAACTTGAAACCTTGATTTTTTTTTCATCTTAAAACAGATCTTTTACAATCTTACTTTCATTTCCTCCTCCTGCAATAGAAACCTAGGCTAGGGTAGGCAATCCATGGAGATATTGGCTCAGTTCAAGATCATTCTTGTTCTTTTTTTCACTGTCTTTTTGCTCTCAGCTTGTAATCAGGCTGAAAATGTAACATACCGTGGTAAATCTCTTTTTACAGTGTTTTCATTAGCATTATAATTTTGTCACTGTATTATTGTTTCCCCGTTTAGATTTCCTTATTGAAATATTAATGCAGATGACTTAAGGAACTACATTTGTTAATGTCCACAGTTTTGAGGTATCCCCTAATCCAATGTTGGTAGGCAGGCCAGCTACCGTCATCATCTCAGCTTCTACAAGTAATCTCTGCTTCCTTTATTGATAAAATGATCTGTCAGATGCAAATAATCTTATTCATGCACTGATTTGAGTTTTTAGTAATTGACTTACATGGTTGCTATTTGCATCCAAACACTTACTTTACACACTCCATTACTTTTAACACCTTATTTTTTACTCATCACATCTACACTCAAAATTAAAATTTACCAAAACACTCAAACACCCAAACACCTCATCTTGGTGTGATTAGAAGCTTTTCATCTAGAAATAGATTTATGGAAGCTCTTTATGGTTTCCGAAAATAGATATCTGAAAGTATTTAAAAGCTCTCAGAAATAAAGATTTTTCAAAAATGAATTTTCAAAAACTCTTAAAGATTTTCGAAAATAGATGTCCGACCGAAAACCTTTAAGAGCTTCCGCTGGAAGCACTTAAAGGTCTTCGGACATCCATTTTCAAAAATCAACTTACCTGTTCATCATCTCCAAATCTTCATTGCTAAAGTTGTTTCTTTCAAGTTCACTTTCCATTTTGGCAGTATACAAGATATTACAAATTTTGATTGTGAATTTTGACAATAATATGACTTGTTACAAAGAAGAAGAAGAGAAGAAAGTTACTTGGGGAGGAGAAAAAGAGAACGGAAGAAAAAGAAGGGGGTGTGAAGGACAAAAAATAATTGATTAAAGGATATTTAAATAATTTTATTAAAGATTAAATTTATAATAAAATTTTTGGAGTGTACTTAGTAGTTCTTGATATGCAAATAGAACCTTTCTTGACTAATTAGGAAATGTGGATGGAATTCTAAGGCATTTCTGGTTCTGTTGCTAAATTGGGACCTGTCATCTCTTTTGTTTAGGATGTTTTGATCTGCAATGGACCTTTATTTCTGTTCTTAAGTTTATATTATGCTCAATAGATAACAACTCTAATGAAAAGCTTGACCATACATTCTCTTATTGGTATTACAGTAGAAAATTTGAGTTTTGTTTTTCAAGTTATTATATTCCTTTTTTGAGATGATATAGAGGATACCAACCACTTCAGCCATCTGGCAGGGCTGCAACCAAATACATTTTATGGTTGATAGTTGATTCAGATTTTACAATCTTGTTCACTAAGTACAAAAGGTTGGAAAAAATGCTTTTTTTTTTCTCAAACAGTCAGTTTATTTTTAGAAAGTAAAGGTTTAGTCTTTAGACATATTATTTTTTTTTGTCTTAACCACCTATGTTCACATTCTCTATCTGTTTTATCTTTTAGGTGCTTAATTTCTGTAGCTTTAGCTTGCTGATGACTATAGGAGCTACATTTAATTGTGTTTGATTACTTTTGTTCTTTAGCATTCTATATATTAATAAAGTAGGCACTTGGCATATAACTGTTAGGCTAAAAGGCCCCAATCCAATCATGCTAGTAGAAGCGAAATCAAATGATCAATCAAACACATAAGAAACAATAATTTAATGTAGTTCGATTCAACCGATCTACGTCCACGGATGAGAAAAAAGATTCACTAGTTGTAGAGAATTACAAACATATAAATCAAATCATCAACCTTACTCAACAATCAATACTCATAAGACACTCTCAATCTCCTCTAGTCATATGAAATATTCTCAACCCAAACAAACACATACCCATGTACATCTTTTCAACACAAATAACACATACCCATAGTACCCATTCATCATACCTATATGAACCCTTTCAGTCTCCTCTAGTCCACTCACAAATAAACATATACACATATAAGATATAAAGCCCCAATACTCTTATGGGTTGTCTATCCCACAAAATTCTACAACTCTCTTACATCTTTTTTTCATACATAATCCTATAGAGACTTCACCTATTTATAATCATACAAACTTGCCTAGTAAGAATCCCTCTCCTTTTAGAATTCTTATTATACAAGTCAAACTTACCTATTAAGTATCATTTTTCTTTTAGAATTCTTCTTCTACAAGTCTTATTATTGATCAAGCAATATCTAATAAATTTCAAACAAATCTTCTATGAAATTTGAGTTATTATTCCTAACAATCTTCACCTTAACTCAAATTTCATCAATAATTTATCTTCATGCTAGACATGTTTAGCTTCACTTGTAATGAAAGTCTCATAATCATCTTTTTTTATGTGCCTTTATGCTTTATGCAAATCGATCTTCAAAATACAAACTCAAACTTCTTTCTTGAATCGAGTTCCTCTAAGCTTACCTCTTTCCATGTCTCGAACATTTAGCTTTGATACCACTTATTGAAAAATACCACAGCTCTAATATCACTTGTTAGGCCAAAATATCCCAATCCAATCCTACCAATGAAAGTGAAATCAAATGATCAATCAAACACATAAGAGATAATAATTTAACATGGTTCGATCCAATCGATTTACATCTACGGATGAGAAAAAAAAATCCACTAATTGTAGAAAATTACAAACATATAAATCAAATCATCAATCTTACTCAATAATCAATACTTATAAGACACTCTCAATTTCTTCTAGTCTTATGAAATATTCTCAATCCAAACAAACATATATCCATGTGTACCTTTTCAACACAAACAAATATATATCTATAGTACCCATTCATCATACTTATATGGACCCTCTTAGTCTACTTTAGTTCACTCATAAATAAACATATACACCCATAAGATATAAAGCCTTAGTATTCCTATGAGATGTCTATCCCATAAAATTCTACAACTTTCTTACATTTTTTTCTTATACCTAATCCTATAGAGACTTCACCTATTTATAATCATATAAACTTATCTATTAGGAATCTCTCTACTCTTAGAATTCTTCTTCTATAAGTTAAACTTACCTATTAAGAATCATTTTTCTTTTATAATTTTTTTTTCTGTAAGTCTTATTGTCGATCAAGTAATATCTAACAAATCTCAAATAAATCTCTAACAAATCTCAAACAAATTTTTTATGAAATTTGAGTCATTATTCCTAACAATAACTTCATTCAGGTCAACCAAACTCTAATGATAAAAAGGTGATAGATGTCTGTTTTCTAAGATT